TCGCCCCTCCTCCTCCCGCTCCTCCCTCCTCCCCTTCTTCCCTGCGTTTCACCCACCCAATACAGCGCTTCGTAGCCCCATAAGGAGCTACACCGAAGGCCCCAGTGGCAGCGTTCGCATGGCGGCCTCGGGCCATTTCGGCACACCCCTCACGAGGATGGTGGCCCCATAGGAAGCTCCAGCGAAGGCGCCAGTGGCAAGGTTCGCATGGCGGCCTCGGGCCATTTCGGTACATCCCTCACGAAGATCGTGGCCCCATATGGAGCTACACCGAAGGCCCCAGTGGCAGCGTTCGCATGGCGGCCTCGGGCCATTTCGGCACACCCCCCACGAGGATCGTGGCCCCATAAGGAGCCCCACCGAAGGCCCCAGTGGCAGCGGCCTCGGGCCATTTCGGCACACCCCTCACGAGGATCGTGGCCCCATAAGGAGCTCCACCGAAGGCCCCAGTGGCAGCGTTCGCATGGCGGCCTCGGGCCATTTCGGCACACCCCTCGCGAGGATCGTGGCCCCATAAGGAGCTCCACCGAAGGCCCCAGTGGCAGCGTTCGCATGGCGGCCTCGGGCCATTTCGGCACACCCCTCACAAGGATCGTGGCCCCGTAGGGAGCTCCACCGAAGGCCCCAATGGCAGCGTTCGCGTGGCGGCCTCGGGCTATTTCGGCACATCCCTCACGAGGATCGTGGCCCCATAGGGAGCTCCACCGAAGACCCCCAGTGGCAGCGTTCGCATGGCGGCCTCGGGCCATGTCGGCACACCCCTCACGAGGATCGTAGCGGCAGGGTTCGCACGGCGGCCTCGGGCCATTTCGGCTCCCCCCATCACGAGGATCGTGGCCCCATAAGGAGCTTCGCCACAGGCGCCAGTGGCAGGGTTCGCATGGCGGCCTCGGGCCATGTCGGCACACCCCTCACAAGGATCGTGGCCCCACAGGGAGCTCCACCGAAGGCCCCATTGGCAGCGTTCGCATGGCGGCCTCGGGCCATTTCGGCACACCCCTCACAGGATCGTGGCCCTATAAGGAGCTCCACCGAAGACCCCCAGTGGCAGCGTTCGCATGGCGGCCTCCGGGCATGTCGGTACACCCCCCACGAGGATCGTGGCCCCATAGGGAGCTCCGCCGAAGGCGCCAGTGGCAGGGTTCGCGCGGCGGCCTCGGGCCATTTCGGCACACGAGCATCGTGGCCCCACGGGGAACTCCACCGACGGCGCCAGTGGCAGGGTTCGCACGGCGGCCTTTGGCCATTTCGGCACACCCCTCTCGAGGACTATAGCACTATAGAAATCAAGGGCTATAGGGCTATAGGGCTGTAGGGCTATAGGGTTATAGGGCCATGAGGCTATGAGGTTATAGGGCTATAGGGCTACTGGAATATATGGCTGGGCTATAGGGCTATATGGCTATAGGACTACAGGGCTATAAGGCTATAGGGCTACGGGGCTATAGGGCTATATGGCTACAGGGCTGTAAGGCTATAGGGCTATTGGGCTATACGGCTATTGGGCTATAGGGCTATAGGGCTATGGGGCTGTAGGGCTATAAGGCTATGGGGCTATATAGGGCTCTGGGGCTATAAGGCTATAGAGCTATAGAGCTATAGGGCTATGGGGAAATTGGGCTATAGGGCTGTAGGGTTACGTGGCACCCGGGCACCCGCAGAAATCGGCGGCGCACCCGGGCACAAAGGCACCCGGGCGTGCCGCCGAAATCGGCGGCTCACCTAACCTAACCATATGAATCCGCTAGGACCCCTACAGAGGCAAGCTCTGATTGGGGAACATTTTTTAAATAAATGAACATTCGACATCAGCAGCAACAACAGCAGCAACAATATCATCAACAACAGCAACAGCAGCAGCAACAACAACAGCAACATCAACACAACAACACAAACAACTCCAACATCAACAACAACAACAACGGCAACATCAACAACAACAGCAACAAAACTAACAACAACGACAACATCAACAACAACAGCAACATAAGCAACATCAACGATACCAACAAGAATAACAACACCAATCATTTGAAAACGGTTCGATCTTATCTGCACGCGACCGATTCAACGCGTATATCCCAAATCTCCGATACCCGCCCCCTTCGTCTTCGACCGTGTCCCTTGTGGGTCTTTCTTTCTTACCTGCAACGTGTATTACATGCAGCCAAAAAGGCAGTGGACGAGAGGACGGATGGAAGGAATGGACATGGGGGAGGGAGGAGGATGGAGCACAAGAGGGTAGCTGGAGGGGGGCTAGGAGCAGAAAACACGTGGCAGACCCAGACGGGTAGACCGGACGGGCAGACCCTAATAAGCGGGTCGGGAAGGCGGGCCCTGGCGGCCATGTCGAGCAGGCAGGTTGCTGAAGCGTGAGTCCTGCATGAATCGCGAGGAATTCTCGAGCAATAGCGCGATTCCCAACTGAATCGTGAGAAAAGCCAAAAAGCAAGAGCGTGATTCCTGAGTGTTGAGGGCGTGGCGTTTGAATAAATTGCCGGGAAGTTCCACGCGAGAGCGCGATTCCTGCATACATGGTGAGGAAATCCCGCGAGAGAGCGCGAATTGGAAATAAATTGTGAGGAACTATCAGGCTCGAGCCGCTGTTGTTGTAAATCGGGGGCCAAGGGCTTAGTTTTATGACGCCCAGCTTCCCCTTGTAAAAAACAAGGTGCAAGCCCAGGGATGAACATTTTAACGAAAAAGTGCGATGGTTACCGGAGGGGGGGATCAACAACAATTACTCTTTCATGAACACTCAGCAACAACAGCAACAATTAACAACAACCACAACAACAACGGCAACAACAGCAGCAGCAACAACAATCATTTTAAGACTGCTCGCTCTTATCTGCTCGCGTGCCATTCGACACGTGTACCTCAAACCATCGATACCCGCCTTCTTCGTCTTCGATCGTATCCCCTTGGGGGCAGACTTTTCTTACCTGCCACGCGCATTTAGCGCAGCTCCTTCACACAGGGGAAGAGAGGACGGACGGAAGGAAACGACAAGGGGGAGGAAGGAGGATGGAGTACGAGAGAAGTTAGAAGGAGGGGGCCTGGGAGCAGAACACACGTGGCAGACACAGACGGACAGACCCTAGCGGGCGGGTCGGGAAGGCGGGCCCAAGCGGCCAGGTCGAGCAGGCGGGTTGCTGAAGCGTGCGTCCTGCACGAATCGCGAGGAAATACCGAACAATAGCGCGATTCCCAAGTAAACCGTAGGGAAATACACAGCGAGAGCGTGATTCCTTAGTGAGGGCGCGGCGACTGAATAAATTGCTAGGAAGTCCCACGCGAGAGCGTGATTCCTGCATACATTGTGAGGAAGTCCCGCGCGAGAGCGCGATTTGGGAATACATTGTGAGGAAGTATCAGGCAGAAGCCGCTGTTGTTGTAACTCGGGGGCCAGGGGCGCAGTTTGACGCTCAATACTCTCCCTTGTAAAAAACAAAGTGCGAGCCGTGGGAAAGACACTCCAATTGAAACACACCATGTGCACCGGGCGGGGGGGATGAACAATAATTAAGTTTCAGAAATTTAATTTCAACAGCAACACCAGCAGCAACAACAGCAACAACAACAATCATTTTAAGACCGTTCGATCTTATCTGCTCGCGTGCCATTCAACGCGTATATCCCAAACCCCCGATAACCGCCTCCTTCGTCTTCGACCAGACTCTGTGGGTATATCTTTCTTACCTGCAACGTGTGCTACGTGCCACTTGTGAATCGAGGGCCAGGGGCCCAGTTTGGTAACACCAAGCTGTCCCTTGTAAGAAACAGGGTGCGAGCCCCGGGAGGAGCACTTTAGTTAAACAATGCAATGATTACTGGAGGGGGGGACAACAACCACCATTTAGAAGTGGGTGTATTCGGAGGGGGGAACAACAATCAATATTTAGAAGTGGGTATTCGACATCATCAGCAGGGCAAACAGCAACAACACCCGCAGAAGCAACAACAACACCACCAACAACCCCACCCCCACCAACAATAACACCACCAACCACATAACAACAGCAACAACAATACCAACAACACCAACAGCAACAACAATCACAACAAAAACAGCAGCAACAACAACACAAACAACTACAACTACAATATCATCAATCATAGTTGCTCTTTAGACATGGCATTCAACTACAACAACAACAGCAAACCGAATCCACACCGTGGAGTCCCATTTCAGCCGCGCACCCAGGGTCAATGACTAACCGCTCGGCCCCCTCGCTGTGATGATAAATGGAGGGTGCTCACAACATCTAGGAACAAACAGGAACAATGCCAGGGATGCTGATGCTTGGCGTCGATTTACGTGCGTCTCCCTGGGTCCCTTCAGCACGCGTCGCCCTGCCCTGCTTGGCCACCCCCGACTCGGGGCCCCCCACACGGTGTGGTGACCACACCGTGTGAGTCGGAAGGGATTCGGGATCACCGCAAGGTTTTGGGACCTGGGTCGTTCTCCGAGGATGTCTCGGACGACTGGCGCCTTCGAGGTCTCTAAACCGTGTGGCGACGCACCCTGCGGTGAGGTTCTTGCGTTGGGCGCCACTCAAGGGGGGGGCGATAAATTGAGGGGGGGTGAGAAAGGTGTACTTTTTCGGGCCCCAAAGGCCCCCTTCTGGGCCCGAAAGGACCCCTTTAGGGGCTCTGAAGGGCCCCTCTTCGGCAGACCTCGCTGCCCCCCCCCAATGTATCGCCCCTCCCATTCAGCGAGGCCGACCTGCGGATGTCAAGGTCTCCGCCGGGTCCGTCACAACACGGCTTCTGACCTCCAACCGACGCTTGCTATCGCTTGGACGTCCATTCCGCAATGCATCTCTCGATTTCGTGCGTGTATTCCTTCGTGGGGTGATCCGATCTCCTCCCCCGGTGGCCCTCGCCGAAGAGAGTGCACACGTCCGAGCGATGCCACGGACTCCTGCCCCGCTGCGGAGACCCTCCGTGGGGACCAGTGGCGCCCGGCGCGCGCCCGCGGACGGCGGGCGGCGCGCCCCCTCTGCCGGTGCGCCAGGATGGCGGCGGCGCTCTGCGGGCGGCGGCGACGCGCGAGGCAGAGGCGGCCGCCAGCGCAGCGTCCGAGGGCCCAGCAATTCCCCTCCCTCCTCCATGCCCCGCCCTCGTGCCTCCACCTCAATAATTATCATGATCTCCTCCGCCTCCTCCTCTTCTTCAGTTTCCTCCTCCAGCTCCTCCCCCAGCTCCTCCTCCCCTCCTCCTCCTGCTCCTCCTCCTCCTTCTCCTCCTCCACCTCCTCCTGCTCCTCCTTTCCCACCTGTGCTCCATCTGTGTAACGGTCGGATTTCCAATTTTCAAAATCACAGGTTGCGAGGTGGTCTACGGCGAAACGCCCAGCCCGCCATAACGACACGTATGGTGGTGCGACAAGGATGAGGTAACTACTAGTATGAGTAAAAGTGGTGGGGGAGGATGGAACATGTAGAAGAGGAAGGGGGAAGAGGTAGGAGGAAGAGGAGGAGGAGGAGGAGCAGGCGCGATGTGCTTGGCGTCTAAGAGTCGAAAGCCTTTCTTGCGCTTCTGCGGGGCACTGGAGGCCTCCAAAGGCCCCCTGGTTCGGATGCAGGTGGGAGGGAGGGAGGGAGGGGAGTGAGTCAAGGATAGGGGGGACGGTTTTCGAGGTGTTTGGGTGTTTGAAGATTTTCCTGGGATCGCGGGGACCTCTGAGGGACCCACGGGAGGAAGTGAGGAGGAGGGGTAAACACGGAGGAGAAGGATGAACACCTCTTCCCACTTTTCATGCCCCCTCATCCTCACCTTCCTCTTCCGCCTGCTCCCTCGTCCTCTTCGTCCCGACGCCACCGAAGCACGGGCACCGCAGCGAGGCTCTGAAGTTGGAAAGGGAGCAAGAGAAAAAGGATAAAGAGGGGGAAATGATGGGTACTCCTCCGCTCCTCAAAGTCCTCTTCATTGCAAGGAAGATGAGGAGAAGGATAAGGAGGAGGAAAGGATGGTATATCCTCCCCTCCTCAAAGGAAGAAAAGGGGAAGGACAAGGAGGAGGAACGGACGGGTACTCCTCCCCTCTTCCTAGTCCTCCCCATTGGAAGGAAGAAGAGGAGACGGAGAAGGAGGAGGAAAGGATGTGTACGCATCCCCACCCACTAATCCTCTTGAATGGGTCTCTTCGCCCCGCTCTTCATCCTCCTCTTCCTCGCCCACGAGTATGCGGCGCGTCTGAGCCTTCCCCGAAGGCACAAGCAACCTCTCAGAAAGGCGCGAGGGCTTCTGAGAAGTCCGCCGCCTTCTGGGAAGGCCTTCTCCTTCTTACTTACCCCCTGGCTCGCCGCCGAATCTGACCCAGGACCACTTGGCTCCAGGAGCGGCCCAAAAGCCAAAGCCCCTCCCGAGCCCAACGTGGTCCTCATGTCGGCATCTTGGCTACAGCGTGGGCCTGGCAAGGGTCGGTGAGGTGGGCAGTGGCTCCCCCGACATTTGACAGTCAATACCCACGTTCGTGGTCCCGTGTCAGATTTGGCGGCGAGCCAGGGGGGGAGTGAAAAGGAGAGGACCTGATCAGAAGGCGGCGGGACTTCTTAGAAACCCTCGCACCTTCCGAAAAGTTATCTGTGGCTCCGGAGAAGGCTCAGAAAACTTCTCAGAAAGCCGGAGAACTTCCGAGACTTTTGGGAAGGCCGGCCCCTTCTCGCTTCCCCGCGGGACCGCCGCCGAAAGCATACCCGCAGAACCCCAGGAAGTTACTAGGACTCCCCCCATTCGGAAAAATAATGAAACTTCTCGCACCAGGAAGTGTGATCCTGGCACCCGGATGATGATGAGGAGGAGGAGGAGGAGGAAGAGGAGGAGCAGGAGGGGGAAGGAGGAGTCCACCCTCATTTCCAAAAATGTGGCTCTCGCCTTGGCGCCGCGCGCCTTCGTTTCAAATGCTGGCAAGAGCTTCGGATATTGAGGGCGGATCGTTTTCAAAATGTGGCTCTCGCCCTAGCGCCGAGTTCATTCGTTTCAGAAACGTGCCAAAGCTCCACGGATTGAGGGCGGGTCATTTTCGAAATTTGGCTCTCGCCTTAGCGCCGCGCGCACTCGTTTGAAAAACGTTGCCAGGGCTTCACGGATGGAGGGCCTGTCGTTTTCAAAATGTGGCTCTCGCCTGAGAGCCACGCGCACTCGCCGATCTCAATCTTCTCAGGGTCACAGTCTGATCACAGTCCGCTCGGTGTTCAGGGCGACAACACCAATATTACATGCATTATGACTGCTGCGACGTACGATTGCGACTACTACCACTGAGCACTATTAAATACAAGCGCTGCAAATACCAAGTACTAGCAATACTACTAAGCACTACCAAGTGCAACCGCGGACTGCTACAATGACTGCTACTACTGAGTACTCGTACTGATACTACTACACCGAAGTACTCGCAGTACAAAACAATACTACTATGACGTACTACTGCTACGACTACTACTACTACTACCACTACTACTACGTCTACTACTTCTACGAGTACTACTATTACAACTAAGCGCGTGCGCTACTACACCTAAGACTTAGTAGTCGTAGAAATAGTCATACTACTATTACTACTACTACTACTACTACTACTACCACTACTACTAAAACTGCTGCTACGAGTACTAGTACAAATACAAAACTACTACTACAACAACTACTACTACTACTACTGACATGACTACTATTACTACTACAACAACTACTACTACTACTACTACGACTACGACGACTACTACTACTACTACTACTACTACTACTATTACTACTACCACTACTAAACCACCAGTACTGCCACTACACTTGCTACCACTCATACTACATCCCATACTACAACACGTATGACTTCTGCTACTACTACTACTACTACTACTACTACTACTGCCACTACGACTACTACGGATACTACTACTACGACTACTCCTACTAATACTTCTACGGCTACTTCTACGACGACAAAGACTATTACTACCACTGCAGCGACTACTAGTAGTAGTACTACTACTACTACTACTACTACTACTACCACTACCGCTACTACCACGATTAGCACTGCGCTTCTAGTACTATTACTACCACTACGACTACTACTACTACTACTACTACTACTACTATTGCTTCTGCTACTACTACGACTACTGCTACTGCTACTGCTACTACTACTACTACTACTACGACTACTAGCACTACTACGACTGCTACTACTACTACTACTACTACTACTGCTGCTACTACTACTACTACTACTACTACTAATCCTACTTTTACTACTACGTTGCGCCGTTCTTAGCGCTACTACTACCGCTACTACTGCTACTACTACGGCGACTACTACTACTACTACCACTACTACTAATACTACAACTACTACTACTACTACTACTACTACAACTACTACTACTCCTATTCCTACTATGACGACTACTACTAATACTACTACTACTACTACTCCTACTACTACTACTACTACTACTGCTGCTGCTGCTGCTACTACTACTACTACGACAACTACCACGACTACAGCTACTACGACGACTGCGATTGCGATTGCGACTACGACTACGACTACGACAATTACTACTACCACTACTACTTGGACTACTTACTACTATCTACTACTACTATACGGCTGAGACGACTACTTGACGAATACTACTACTACTACTACGTACTACTCCTCCTAACTACTACTACTACTACACTACTACTACTACGACACCTAAACTACAACAACAACAAACTCTACTACTACTACACATTACTACTATGCATATACTATAGTACTACTACTACACCACTACTACTACTACTACTACCACTACTACTACTACTACTACTACTACTACTACTACTACCACTACGACTACTACTACTACTACTACTACTACTACTACTACTACTACGACTACTACTACTACTACTACTACCAACACTACTACTACTACTACTACTACTACTACTACTACTACTACTCCTACTACTACTACTACTACTACTACTACTACTACTGTTGCTACTACTACTACTACTACTACTACTACTACTACTACCACGATGTACTGCTTTTCCTGCTACTACTACCACTACTCTGCCATTTCTTCTCTCAACTACCCCAACGCGATGCCAAGTACATGCAACAGTTCCACCCTCGCAATATCATTCATAAGACTACTCGCGAACGGGGCATGCTTACTCTCGCCGCTTTGCGGTGCTACGATAACGTTCGGTGCGGGGTGGGGGCGACGCCCTCGGGTGGACCCTCCTTTAGGACGGCCGACGGACATAAATGTCCCATTGGGTTCTGTGATAGAAATCGTACAGGACGGACAAGTGAGGAGAAACATTATGAATACGGCGGAAAAGCTCCTACTCGTACGACGGTTAACTAATACTTGTTCGTGTTACTTTTCCGACCACTATTACTACTACCGCGATTAGCACTATTACCACCAATACTTCTACTACTACTACTACAACTACTACTACTACTGCTACTACTACTACTACAACTACAACCACTACTACTACCACTACTGTTACTACTACTACTACTACTACGACAATTTCCAGGACTACTCGTACTCGTACTCGTACTCGTACTGCTAATACTACTAATCCGACAAAGTACTCGTACTCGTACTCGTACTCGTACTCGTACTCGTACTCGTACTCGTACTCGTACTGCGAATACTACTACTCGAACTCGTACTGCTACTGCTACCACTAATACTACTAGTCCGACAAGTAAGACTACTACTACAACTACTACTACTGATACTACTACTACTACTACTACTACTACGACTACTACTACTACTACTACTCCTACTCCTACTCCTACTACTACTACTACTACTACTACTACTACTACGACGAGTACTCCACAAACTACTACAACTACTCTAACTACTACTACTGCTGCTATTACTACTACTACTACCACTACTACTACTACTAGTACTGGTACTACTGCTCCTACTGCTACTACTACTACTACGACAACTACGAATATGGCCGCAGCTGCGACAACGACTACAAC